TGAAAATATGTGAAGGCGCAATCAAAAACAAAGGTGTTGCCATATTTTAGGAAAAAAAAATTTTTTTTAATTAAGGACACGAATCCAAAACAACGCAACTTCAAAAATCTAATGATGCACAGTGAAAATCAGTAAAAATTAAGCAGCGACGCAACTTCGAAAAAAACACAAAATGAAACGACACAAAGCGAGGTATTGGTGTATATGTATAGTTGGCTGCATATAGGCATCAAAAGAGAGGCACGTCTTCCTTTAAATATACATCAGAAAGATGGCACCATGCATCACCCTAGTAAAAAACTTTACTAGTAATGATAAAGTTTTAGCAAATTGAGACAAAAAGCTAATAACATGTATACCATGGTTTCAGGCTTTGGCCTTGATCAGTTCATGAATATTCTCCTCCCATAACTTTATGTTATACTAGCCGAATGACCTGGGGGGCAACGCCCGGGTTTTACCCGATTAAATGTTTTTATTCAAATACTATTCGTTACAATTATAAATTGCCACCATGAATGTCACTCTTGTGAAACATCCCACTCCAAAGTTTGTATTTTTGTAAAATATAAAAATGTAAATTTTCACAACAAAATTTGAAAATTCTATTATTTTGATTTTCAAATACTATTGGTTAAAATTATAAATTGGTGCCGTGGATGTCACTCTTGTGAAACGTCCAGCTCCAAACTTTACATGTACATTAGGTCAGCTGGTATTACCTTCCATCTGCCCAGCTAGAGGCACTGCTTGCGAGTGAAAGGGCTAATTTGCAACGCAAATTTGCAAATAAGTCAACAAATATTCTGGATAGAGGCCTGAAATTTTCACTATAAGTTTTTCCAGATTCTACTCTATATACTGTTAAAATTTCAGTCAGATTAGTTACGTTTTGTGGGCGTGTATAGCCGACAAACATACATACATACATACACTGACTTTTATATATATAGGGATATAAAATCTCTAGAAAAAAATTTGGAAGAATGCTAGGCCAAAGGTCACCTAACAATAAATTGCAGAAAGGTCACTGTTTTTTCTCCTGTAGAAGGATTATCATGTCCGAGAGATATGAATTAAAATTTTAAAAAATGATAAAAAGAAACATATCCCTGGAATGTAAAAAACAGTACAAATGTGACATTATACTGGGATAAGGTGCATAATTATGAAAAAAGGCATCTCTTTATCATGCAACCGAAAGTTGCTGATGGCTTTCACCATCTATCGGAATAAATATCAACTATTCTCGCTGATTTTTAATTATTCCAGAATTGGCCAAATACCCATTCTTGATTAATCAAGAAAAGCTAACCACAGACACATTTCGGGCTGTTGGCCCTCATCAGTGTGGTGCAAGCTGTACCTCAACGACCAAAAACTGGTCATTCAGGCATCCCAAAAAATCATGAAATGAGTAGTTAAAGCCAGAATTGCATGAGACCGCGACACAATGTGAAAAAAATAGTACAAATGTGATATTGTACTGGGATAAGGTGCATAAATTATGAAAAAGGCATCTCCTTAATTCTGGAATAATTAAAAATCAATGAGAATAGTTGATATTTATTCCGATAGATGGCACAAGCCATCAGCAACTTTCATTTGCATGATAAGGAGATACCCTTTTTCATAAAATATCCTTGGAAGCCTCATGTTTTCATCCTAATATTGACAAGGGATTATTTTATTGAAAGACAATTTTTTTTCTGTTGATCTTGTTACCTTCTGGATTAAATAAGGCATAACAACTTTGGTATAATGTTATATGTACACATGAGAACATATATAAAAGTCCTTTTATAATAAACAAAATAAAACTAAATCACATATTTACATATATAAATACATTTTGAAAATAGAGCAATCCAATAAATAAATCTTTAATTAAAAAGGCATATATTGGATCAAAATATAATTTTATTTTACCAATATTTCAGTTGGTTGAATGCTAACCTTTTTCAAGGTACAATATTAATGTATTAAGAAAAAAGTAATTTCCTGATCGTGCAACTTAAAAGTTGCTGATGGCTTGCGCCATCTATTGGAATAAATATCAACTAATCGTTGATTTTTAATTATTCCATTGATATTTATTCCGATAGATGGCGCAAGCCATCAGCAACTTTCAGTTGCACGATCACGAAATTACTTTTTTCTTAATTTATCTCTACCTGATCCAAGTACAAATTCATTTTGTACAATTTTTCATATTAATATGTTTCAACAAAAAACAACAACTTTATGTGGCGCTGAGTTTGTTGTGTGTTGACACACATTAATATGTTACCTTGAAAAAAGGTTGGCGTTCAGCCAACTGAAATATAAGTAAAATAAATGATATTTTGATCCAATATATGCCTTTTTTAAATTAAATATATATACATGTGGGAATAAGTAAGGGGTTAAAAAAGAATCTTTAAATTACAAGAAAGCTCAAAATCTATTTACAATGTTGTTTTAAGAGATTCAAATTTGATTAGGGTAAGCAAAGAGTGGCAAAATAAAGGGGTATTCAAAATAGTTCAAATCTTTTTTTTTTTTCAAATTAGCTTTATAAAATTAATAAAGAAGTTCATCACATATCTATTATTTCCCACAGAGTTAAATGTAGAAGAAACAAAACCACCAATGGTAAACAAAGCTAGTGTAATTTCAAATACAAAAAGTTAGGCTAGATAAAAAAAAATTAGATAGAGCGGAGTAAAAAATGGTAACAAGTGACAGTTTCCAAGAGTGACTACTTTTGTCGAGTACAAAAAACTTATACAGTTAAACCTGTCTATAGCACCCCCTCTAAATAGTGCCTTCCTCTCTATAGGGCCCGATTTTAAATACATAGTACGTTGCGATTTACATTAAAAGTGACCTTTCTATAGCACCCCCTCTCTATAGCACCTATTTTGGTGAGTCCCAAGAGGGGGCGCTATAGACAGGTTTAACTGTATAATCAACATCCAATGTGAAACTACCTCTTGGACATATCAGGAAGATTTATCTTAAAAAAGATAACATAGATACAATCATTCCTGAGTTACTTCATTTCTCCATGTTTGGGGGAAGGACTCACACTGTGTTGTCATCTTCATTTAGAAGGTTCACTAAGGAAGGTGACTGGGAGTAGCAGGAATGTGGGGAAATGTGAAGTATCTTAAGTCTGTGTGTAGTTATTTATTTTTTAAAACAAACTCCCAAAATCTGGGGAAGGAGGGGGAGAGAAGTCTGATGACATCTCCCTACAGACCACTCTGAACCCTTGGAATATTCAATCAAATTCTGGTCTATTTCCAAGGTGACTAATGTGGCAATGGAACCCATTTTATAATGAAGAGCAAAACTGATATCTTCAACTACTCCCAACAACCAGCAAATGATTTTTTTTATACAAGAAGAGTTTATGGGACTGCCCTGTAGGTACGGTGTCGTAAGCCCCGAGCCACTACGGTAACCGTGAACAGGGAACTCTGAAATGTGGCTGACTAACGGGGCAATGGCACCCCTCTCCTTTCCATGGAGCAACAAAATCAGAAATGGACAAGAGAAGACCACCACAAGGATAGTTTTAGAGTGTTTGTTTTTTGCTGAAGGGTTTACTGGCATGTCAGGTCATCCTACTTTGATTAAGGAGAATTAAAAGTCCTCTGACATAGCACTGGTATGTCACATTCCTTGGGTAATACCTGTATACCAAAAACTATGCTTTTTTTTTTCATCATTAGTACATGTGGTACAGGCCATGATAATTATGATGGGTAGTAGTTGGTGACTGCTTTTACTGTAAGTGAACCACATATCCACACATCTAGATAGAGAGCGCAGTTCAACTTTTACACTTACAAGTGTAGCCAGAACTTAGTATGGCCTTGTTACCTTTCTGTAAAGAATGGAGTGTTATGGCCAATTTTTTCTAAAAAGATCCTACAATGGAATAAAATGGTACAGTAGAACCTACTCTAAACCTACCTAAACAGTGTCTATAAAAGAAAAAAAAAACTAGTTGCAGAGCTAAAGTGACTTTTAGGGAGATATGTCCTCTTACCAGAGTGGGCTACTAAATGGTAAAAATGGTAATTTTGGAGATTAATACTGTCCTTTGTAAAGAGAGTGTCCTTTAGCAGAAGTGTCCTCTCATGGAGGTTGTTCTAGTGTAAAATATGGTCTCACAAAAGGAAGGCAAGCCAAGAAGAAGACAATGAGAAACCAGTTCACTACATCTTCCCAAGGCATGCCATATTCCTACTCGGGCCAGATTGTCCAAAAATATTATTTCAGGAGACCTAAAGAGATTTTTAGGCAAATACAAAACTTGGACCTGAACTTAAAAGAGTTGAAAATTGTGACCCAATCAGGTTTTTTTGCTTCTCTCACACTTTTAAAGCCAATCAGTGGCAGTGTTTGGGATTTGGGCAAATCTCTCGGGATTGGCCAGCCATTTCTGTATCCCAACCTACTGGGAGCAGATTTGAGAGGATGTATGAAATAGGACGGTCCAGGAAATAATGGTAAGATGATATACCATGGATTTGAACAAGGCAAGACAAGAACTCCTTGACATGGTGGAACACAGTTGCATGGATTGAAACACCAATATCCATTTAGGACAAGGTGGCATGTGGAAGACTCAAGCAATCAATATAAATACACTCATGGACAAAACATAAAGAAGTTGTACCTTTTAGCATGTATATCAGGATTCAGACAATAACTATGAAAGATATTACAATAACCTTTATTGAAGACACACGAGATAACCAAGCATGAAAAAAATTGCCTTTGACTTCTTCAAAAAAATAGACAATTGGTAACATCAAAGACTTTCCACTCCCTCAAGTTTTGTCCATGAGTGTATTTCCCATCATAAAAACACCTCAGGATATTGAATTATAAAAGTAAAATTTCTGCACTACACTTATCTATTATCCAACCTAACGTGTAGGTTAGCTTTCATTGCTCCATCTCTTCTACAAGGCCCCCCCTATAAACATTGTTTAAAGAAAAAGAGGCGGCGGTGGGATTCGAACCCAAACTTCATTGAGACTGGTACCTAAAACCAGCGCCTTAGACCACTCAGCCACGCTACTGTCATGCTAATGTTATAGAAGAAAACTCACTTCAAAACTATCCTATGCAGTTTGCAGTGTATAAATAGACAGAATAACCTTTTTATTTCAACCAAGTACAGTAGAACCTCCAAGAAAGAGGACACTCACACTAGAGAACACCACTCTGATAAGGCACAATTTGGATTATAGATTATAAACACAAGGTAATAAGACCAAATCCAAATAAATAAATTGTGTGTGACGTTTTGGTAACAGCGTTGTTACCATCTTCAGACAAAACTACTGAATGACCTAAGTACTGAATGACTTCAGTACTTTTGTCTGAAGATGGTAACAACGCTGTTACCAAAATGTCACACACTATTTATTTATTTAGATTTGGTCTTATTACCTTGTGAGAACACCTCTCTCTAAACAAAGGACAGTTTTGATTTAGCAAAATTACCATTTTTACAATTTAGCGACTCTCCAGTAACAGGACACTTCTCCCCAAAGGACACTTTGGCTCTGCAATTAGGTGTTTTCCTTTACAGGGAGATTGTTCTACTGTATAATTCAACACTTACTTCATCCTTGATAAATCACAATTTGGATTATAGATGATATACATGAAAATAAGACCCAATCCAAATAATTTATTAGTGTATATGTGTATAGTGTATATACAAGAAAGAAGATTTTATTCTTTTGTCTGATGATGGTGACAATGATGTCACACACTAATAAATTATTTGGATTAGGTCTTATTACCTTGTACTTACTTCATCCATTTTCCTTAATCCCAACCACAGCCACTTTAACCAGTTGGACAAGACATCCACCATTTCTTCAACCAGCTTTAATTCAACAGAGAAAATTCTAATCCTTTGATGTGTTGAATTAAAGAAGTTATTAACTGTTATCGCATGAAATTAATAATTTAACAGACCTTTTTGTAATTATTTCAATTTCAGCATATTGAATATATATTTTTTACATAGCATTTAACAAATATAAATTTCAGTTTTTTATATTACAGTAGAACCTCCCTGTAGAGGACACCTAATTGCAGAGTTAAAGCGTACTTTAAAGGAGAGGTTTCTTCTTACTGGAGAGTTGCTAAATAGTAAAAATGGTAATTTTGCAAATGAAAACTGTCCTTTGTAGAGAAGTGTCCGCTAAAGGGAGGTTCTACTGTATTAAAATAAAAATGAGAAATATATATATTAAAAAAGACTCACTTTCTAGGAAATCCTCTAGATAAAGCATTTTGTATCTTCTTTTTAATGTGCGGCCGCACCTGAAAAACCACACAACAACAACACTAAGGTACAATTTGGATTATAGATTATAAACACAAGGTAATAAGAACAAATTCAAATAAATAAATAGTGTGCAACAAAAGTACTGAATGCTTTCATAACATTTTCAGTACTTTTGTCTTAAGATGGTTACACCGCTGTTACCGAAACATCCCACACTATTTATTTGGATTTGGTCTTATTATCTTGTGTTAACAATAATAATAGTAAATATCACTAATACAAAATTAAGCTCAATTGTTGGTTAGAAATTGGCTTGGGAAAAACACATCAACCAATGATTTATTAAAATTCCCGACATTTCCATGACATGCTGTCTCATTCCCATAATACACCTATCCCCCGATTTACACGGTAGATACGTTCCTGAGAAAAACGTGTAAATCAAAAATTAAAAATTTTCGCGAAATTTTTATGCGAAGAAATACAGACACAGTGTGCATGTGCAACAAGTCAGCACATAAGCTCGGGATTCCTCGTGAGATGTGTACACAGCGCATGTGTTCAATCACAGTAGCATTTAGTATAGTGCGATAAAAACAAAAAAAAAACTTATTTGGAAAACCGTGTAAAAGCGAAAACGTGTAAAACAAGTACCGTGTAAATCGGGGGATAGGTGTACTATATTGTGGTGGTTTAAACAATGTAGACCCTATATCATATATACCCAGAGATGCTACAGTAGAACTACCTCTCTGTAAACACCTAGTTGCTGAGACAAAATGTCCTTTAGGAAGAGTTGTCCTCTTACTGATGAGTTACTGAATAGCCAAAATGATAATTTTGATAATAAATACAGTACTGCCCGGTAAGCGGAACATTGTGGGTTCGTTTCCCATCCCTGGACACTTTTATTTTTTCCGTTTATCATTACTCTTTACAATTCATCCTTTCATTCTTCATCCCTAAGGTTAGAAATAATCGTTATTTCTCCTTTAAATAAATTTTGGTTTTTCATTCAAAAGAAACACATGCGGGATAATTTCAAATGTCGTTTACAATCATAAGCTGCATTATAATGTATTATAAAGTACTTTGTAGAGAGAGGTGTGCTCTAGCAGGTGTTCATGGGGGTTGTTCTACTGTAGTAAGACAGGTTTGGTCCATCTAAAACCAAAGTAATGCAGATGGAATTCTTCAGTCAGAACTGACAGTTAGACATCTAGGAGAAAAACCCTGTTGTGAGGGTAAAACCCTCGATTCCCAGCAGTCACGAACTGGGATTGAATCCCGCGTTGGACCCTTTGTTTTAATATGTGAATAACCTTCACACATATTATTCATTGTTGTAAATATCATAAACTAGGTTGCTCTTTTTGTGCGGTACCTAGTATAGTGATTTTGGAACAAGAATAAGAAGGGAATTTTCAGTCTTGAAGGACAATTCATCTAAAAATTACAACATTGATCAACTTGTATTTGGTTATAGGAACTTTTAGAACACAGCCTCTTAAGTTACATTATAGAAAGTTAACACAAGGTTAATAAAACAAAATAAATAGTGTGTGCATGCGACATTTCTGTAACAGCATTGTTACCATCTTCAGACAAAAGTACTGATTGATAGTACTTTTGTCTGATAATGATAACAACGCTGTTACCGAAACCTCACACACTTTTATCTGTATTTGGTCTTGGTGTTTCTAATCTATAATCCAAATTTTACCGTATCATTATGGAGAGTTATTGTATTTAAAGGTGAAATGACATTTTACAATGGCCGACATCTGTATCGTATATGACACTACCAGATATACAGTATCTTTCATTCAACCAACGCTAATTCGACACTTGAGATAATTCAACCATGTTTTCATGTCCCGGCCCTACAGCCTATCAAATAACCAATGTTAATTTGACCATTTAAAAAAAAAAATCAAATTTTGCAACAATTTTGAATAATTCCCAAGGTAATAACACCAAATAAATAAATAGTGTGTGACGTTTCAGTAATAGCATTGTTACCATCTTCAGACAAAAGTACTGAATGTTTAGTACTACTGTAAAATTCAGTATTTTTGTCTGAAGATGGTAACAACGTTGTTACTGAAACGTCACACACTATTTATTTATTTGGTCTTATTACCTTGAGTTTATAATCTATAATCCAAATTGTGCCTTATCAATTTTGAATAATTAATATTTAAATACCATTATAGCTACAAGAAAATAAGACCTAATCCAAATAAATAGTGGACGTTTCAGTAACAACGCTTTTACCGAAATGTCCCACACTATTAATTTACTTGGATTAGGTCTTATTTTCTTGTAGCTATAATTGTGCTTAAATACTATTGCTATAAAACATTGTTAAATAATCTTATCTAACCTATTTATATATAAGTTTAGGTTACTACCCCTCTTGCCCAAAATGTAGCTTGGCACCTGCAGCTCCAGAACACAGTTTGGCTTGCATTAGATTCACTAAACAGGACCTTTGGGAGAGGTCACTGCTTATCACCAAACAGCTTGAGGTGCATGGACTTATTGAATTTATGTAATATTTGCATAAGGGGATAGGAAACAAAAAAGTTTAGGTTAGGTTGATTTAGGCAGATGCATTCTACTTCACCCAATCATGATGGTTGTCAACTTTACAAGCTTGACACCCTAATATGATTGGGTGGAGATAAGAAAGAAGAAGAGAAGAAGAAGAATTAGAACTCATCCATTGATGAGCTCTACTCTTCTCCGGCAGACACCATCAAAAGTTCTCAGGCTTTACAAGCTTGATACCTTAATATGATTGAGTGGAGATAAGAAAGAAGAGAATTAGAACCCACCATCTGCAGGACCAAAGATCCTCACCAGACCACCTCTTGAAATGTATGGGAGCCTCAAGACTTTGTTCTAACCCTACCAAAGTAGTGAATTTGATCTATGAATTTAGTCTCCATGACCTTGTATAATTATACAATGGGATTGTGGCGACCACACTTTGCTTCAACGAGCGCGAACTGGGACAAAGCTCCACTAAATATACAGGCAGTAGTGTGACGGCCTCGGCAACCTGACTACACATGCGCGAGCATCCAAGACTCTGGCCACTCGCACAGTAAACAAGAAGGCTTGATCCCAACGGCCGTTACTTCTTTTCTCTTTATATATTTCTGGCTTTAAATAAATTAATTATAATTTTATCAGCGGCCTTTCCACAAGCCACACCAACACATCACGCAACCATCCCACAGGATAATTAAAAAAAAAGAATTAGAGATATTTTTGTGTATTGCGAGTAGACCTAGCAATACAATCACCAATGGTCCATTAAAAGGACTTTCTCACCATATGTAAATTTAATTATAAATTATTTTTTTATTTACATAATTTGTGAATTATTATTTTAGAAAATTAGAGCTCAGATTATGTTACAGTAAATAATAATAAACAAATATACAATCAAGGTATTAATAAGGTACAATTTGGATTATAGATTATAAACACAAGGTAATAAGACCAAATTCAAATAAATAAATAGTGTGTGATGTTTTGGTAACAGCGTTGTTACCATCTTCAGACAAAAGTACTGAATGGCTAGTACTTTCTGGGTAAACAGTACTTTTGTCTGAAGATGGTAACAACACTGTTACCGAAACGTCACACACTATTTATTTGGATTTGGTCTTATTACCTTGTGTTAATAAAGATATTAAAAAATTACTGCAATTACAGATGTCTACATTTAATAAATTGTTCTCATTCAATAACACTGCCTTG